ATAATTCCACGTGGATCAAATAAATACAGATGTGTAGTAATTAGTTCTATTCCCAGTGAGCCTATTTCCCACACACTAAAGATGTGAGCGATTATGGAACCTCACCCCAACAGTTTTTATCAATGTAAACTGCTAAACAACAGGATAGGTCACAACCCAGTCTGCTGTTAATAATGTATTTATTATGTGCAACATTATAAATTAGGTATATGGACTAGAAAAAAGGACACCTTTTAACAAGAATAATATGATCTTCCCCTAGCAGCATCATATGTGCCTGGCCACTCACCTGATGTACAGTCCCAAGGCAATCAAAAGAATTAAAAATCTCATCGAAGGAACAGAGGCCTACATCGTCAGCGGACTCCTCCACAGAGATGATTTAGCTGTGGCCGATATGTTAGACATACCCATCCTGGGCTCTGAGCCTGAACTAGCTCATCTTTATAGTACCAAATCTGGAGGTAAACGTGTCTTTGACAGTGCCAATGTGGCAGTTCCTCCTGGAATTTATGACATTTATAGTCAGCAACAGGTATGTGGGGTGAACAATTGAAGCTCTGTTCAAATATTTGAAACATCCTCTTGATCTTGGACAAGTGTTCTGGAGCCAGCCCTACCCAATGAAGAATAGGTGGAATACTTGAGTTGATTTGAGGGAAATCTACTTTATTTATTTAGTTAGTTAGTTTTGAGATGGAGTCTCGCTCTGTCATCCAGGCTGGAGTGCAGTGGCACAATCTCGGCTCACTGCAAACTCTGCCTCCCGGGTTCAGTGATTTCTAGCTCATTTTTGTGTTTTTAGTAGAGACAGGGTTTCACCATGTTGGCCAGGCTGGTCTCGAACTCCTGACCACTAGTGATCTGCCTACCTTAGCCTCCCAAAGTGCTGTGATTACAGGTGCAAGCCACCACGCCTGGCCTGAGGGAATCTACCTGAGACCTTTGTGTTTAAAAGTATTTTCCTGTTAGTCTTGCAGAAATTGCTGGAATTTCCAAAATATTTACTCATCTGGAATAAGCACTGTTAAAATGTATCTATCATTTGAACCAATCTACTATCAATATTTAATGCTTTAACATGGATTATTTCATTATCGTATCAGCTAGCCAGTCATTAAATAGGATCCTAAGAAATATGAGAGTCAGTTTTCACTAAAAGCAGTGGGTTTGGAAAGCTTCTCCACTGGGTCAGATTGCAGAGGGCCTGTGTACAGAGGGCTGCAGGCTTCCTTGGCTCTTCAGGAAGCGATCTAAAGGGAGGAGGGGAAAGATCTCAGAAAAAGGGAAGTAAAACAGCTCCAGGAATAAAACTATCTGTTTTTGGTTGTGCCTTGGATGAGGTGTGGCTATGCATTCTTCCAGCAGAGAGTCAGGGCCTAAAACATTGGGAGAAATGTATTAGCCACTAGACATGTTTTCTCTTTGAGTTAGCCTTGGCAGGTGTTCTCCCATTTAACTGCCATCTGTTTTCATAATAGAGAAAATTAAAAGACAAATGGCTGTTAACATTTCCTAACCTCTGTTTCAGTACACCTCTTGACCATTACTCTGAGCCAATCACATATCATCCCCTCTCCCCGCTTCTTGGGAAACCAAAGAACCATGCACAATGAGGCAGTTTGTGAGGGACTATTTTTAGGGATCCCCTCGTACTCTCAGTTGCCTGATCATGATGCTCTCCACCTCACAGCCACTGAGCTAAATAATCAAGCCTTTCAACAAATCAGACTTTGCAGAGATTAGTTTAAAGAAACGATTAGCTTATTAAGCTACCCACAATTATTTTAGCCTTGTTAGAGTGTTCTTGGGCAATTTTCATGAGCTCAAGACAGAGGTTTCTCTTAACCCGGGAAAGACATAGGCAATTTTAGTAGGAGTGGAGTAGAGAGGATCCCCCTGAGCCATTATGTCACTTCCATTGTCATTAGCCACCACTGGAATTTGAAGATAACAAGATAGATTGCTTGACTCTGCTTCCCAGTAGAATATTTGGCTGTTATACTTATTACAGGCAAAATAAATTTTTAAATGATATCTCACACATTAAACAATCTTCAAAACTTTAAAATGTATGTGCAATATTTACATTGAGTCTTGCCTTCATCTTTACTGAGGAAATCTCAGGCAGTCTTTGCTATGAAATATTTCAGAACTGCATATGTTGACAGGAGTTAAAGATACAGCCACATTTAAATACAGTAAAATCTCCCTCTAGTGCTAGTATTCAGAAGTATGACTAAAAATCTCCTTATGGACACATCACATTTGAGAGATGTCATTTGACCTATGGTATGTGCAAATTGTATAACAATAAACCAACATTTCACTGAGTTCTACTCTGTTTGTTTGGAAAACATACATCTGAGGTCATCAAGAATTAAAATACTCCACTGAGATTTTTCCAGATAGTGACTATCCTACCTAATTTATCTGAGCATGTCAGCGTTTTGAATCTGCAGATGGGGATGAATCAGTAACACTGATTTTTTACCAATGTGCATCATAAACCTAAAGCTGGTGAAAGAAAGCTGTGATTATTTTAACTTAGGTTATTAAGTATTTTCTGACTTTCAGTTGGACTTTAGCAGTAATCATTTTTCTGCTCTTTACCAGTATAAAATGAATCACGGCTAAAAAAATTTATTACATCTTTTGAACAGATAGACTCAAACAGAAAAATGACAAATGTTTGGAACTAATATAAAGTCATTTGGTTTATGATTTGTTTTTTTAAATCTAGCATGACCACAGTGAGCATTTCCTGCTTTGATCCATAAAGTAACTGTGCAAGTTCTCTTTCTGGCACCTGCTCCATATGAAATATTGAGCAGCTTTGGTTAAATAATCAAAAATGGCGATCCTATTTTAAAGCACTGTTCAATTTTCACTTAAAGATAGCACATAATTCTTTCCAGTGGTGCAGTCTTTACAATACTATTGATCTTTTTCATTACTGTAGGGGATCCATCAACGATGCCTATTTATAGGATTCTCAGAAGCAACAAATAATAAGATTTGGAAGAAATAGATAATAATTCTGTTAGTTGAAACCTCCAAATATACATTATATCTAAATATGTAATTTTTAAAAATCTATGCCAGACCACCTTCCCTTATACTAGCAAAATAATTTTACCTGATGTTAGCAGGCCAAAGACCATTTCTCCTTCTGCAAAGTGTGATCATAATACAGCAAAATATGATTAACTATAAAATCTATATTCTCAACACATTAGAGAAAGAAACAACTTTGGAAGGCACATTTAAAAAACTTTCCTAGACTTTGTTCATCACCATATGGTTTGTAGACCAGATTTGTCATTTAAACACCAAAATTATCAGTAAACACTACTTGATAATTAGGGAGCTAAGATAATTTCAATATTCACTCTCACTGAATACCTCATAGTTGTATGAGGTTTCCAGAGACCCCAAGTATGGCCATTTTGCTCTCTCTTCCACCCTGCCACGTAGTGTAACATCCCCAGGAAGATTTGCTGGATAGACACAACCCAGAAGAACAGATTGGGCCTTTAATTAAAATATTTTTAATCTGATCGCCCCAAACTTCAACAGAACTGTAAATCATGAGGTCTTTCACACCCTTTAGTTTAAAAAAAAAATCAGTGGGCAAACAGAACTGATCCAAAAAAAAACGATAAGAGTGTCACAGAGTCCTTCAGTACTGAAAACCATAGCCAAGAGCAGTATGGGAAAGCTCAGGAGACAGAATGCTTAGTGTTATTTCGTTGCTTTCTGGGAAATATTGACTGGAAAGTCTGATAAGAAGATAAGACAAAAAAATCATTTTGTGATCTAATGAGGTATTTTTCTCCCAGGCTGTGCCAGGAGAGTATTACTTATAATTAAGTCATCTTGCCATAGACTTTTACCTGATTCAAACTCACCCCAAATGGCTTATTGACTGCATGGAAAGTGGGTTCTCTTGCTCCTCCTCTGCCTTCTTTCTCCGCTTTACCCTTCTCCACCTCTCTGTGGGTTTGGGATAGTAGCACAGTGAAGAGGGAATGAGCATAGGTTTTGGAGTCAAACCAACTTGAATGGACTTCCTACTCTGCTAGTCAATGCAGAGTAGGTGATTGTGGACAAGTTATTTAAATTAGCTGAGCCTCAGTTTATTTACATATAAAAGAAAACTAATAATTGTGCCCACCTCACAGATTATTATATTAAATGAGAAAATTCATGCAAAGAACTGACATGAGCCGAAGGCCTGGCCCCTACTGAGAGTTCAGCAATCTTAGAGTAATCATCGTTATGATGATACTGGAGCTTGGACTTCTGTTCTATCCATTAAACTTCTGCGTGTTTGAGCCCAGTTCTTGCGGGACTGTTGTTTCAAATAAAATGTGGTAGGTGTATATTCCAGGAAGGTTGCTTTCACAAATGTTTTATCTCCTCTATCTGTCTTATTCTATAATATACTTGCTTGTATCACACATATACAAAACTTGGTCAACTGGCCAGCCAAACAAATGTATTTCATGTATATTAACGAGGAGGAAATGAAATGGTTTCTCTGTTACAGCAGTGAAAAGCTCAACAAACCCCCGAACAGTTACAGGGTTCAAGACTATAACTGTTTATAGTCTTGAAACAATTAAAACATCATTTGAGGAATCAATAAGTAAACTCATAAGTCTCCAAAAAAGAAAGAAAACAATACCAATATTCAATTACAGGTATTCAAGGATTCTTTCTTTTACCTTCAAAAGCCAGCAAAATGATAATTTCGTAATTTCTTATAAATAAGACTATGCTTTTAAACATGTCTTTAGTCTCATTGGTTAATGGTTTCCTCATATCATATTTATATCACTTTAAACTTCTTTAATCTTTCTTAATAACTAGAAGATAACCAAATGAACAGACCATTAGAAGTAAAGACACAGAATTACGACAACTAAGTTAATATGATAAAAAGGAATCCCAGGAAATGAACTGTATTAAATGTGGCTGTGTCTTCGGCCCCACAGATGATAGAGCAGCTGAGTCAGCTGATAACTGATCACCTACAAATACAGCGCTGGCTCTTCAAAATGGACTATGAGTTCCGAGGAAATGGGACTGCATTTTGTGACATTCCTTCCTACCTAAAGTGCTACAAATGGGTGCTAAAGGAGAGTAGCAGATATGGCCTTGAAGACTGGAGAAAGAAATGGGCACAAGTGAGTATTCATTGGTGACTTAAAGGACTTTCCTCTCTACTTAGCTCTGCCACCTGCCAGCAGTGCCTTTCTTGGGACCTTTTTCCTTATGTACACAATGAGTTGGATTGATTGAGTTCTTTGAGTTATCTTCTTTTTTTTTTTGAAATGGGGCCTCACTCTGTTGCCTAGGCTGGAGTGCAGTGGCACAATCAGGGCTTACTGCAACCTCTGCCTCGCTGGCTCAAGCAATCCTTCCACTTCAGCCTCCTGAGTAGTGGGGACTACAGGCATGCTCCAGCATGCCTGGCTGATTTTTTCTTTCTTTTTTTTTTAAATTGAGATGGCGGCGGCGGCGGGGGGAGGGCCTCCTTATGTTGCTCAGGCTGGTCTCGAACTATTGAACTCAAGCAATACACCCATCGCAGCCCCCCAAAGTGCTGGAATTACCAGGTGTGAGCCACAAGTGGGTTATTTTCAATGTTTCTTCTCTGGGCCCTAAAAGTCCTCATTCACGTCTTCAAACTGATCATGATAATTAGGAAGTAATTTTTAAATCATATTCAGGTAACATTACAAATCTTGTAATTTGCCCTAAGTAGTTCCTGATCATGTGCTTCTAACAACTGTTGTTATTAAGCCTACTGTATTTTATTATGAGATAGAAATTCTATTAGTGAATGGTTGTCACCTAGAAGGTAATGTATAATAACATTCTTTCAGCAGTCATATGTTTTTGAAGACATTTCAAGGAAATTTATGTAACTGCTGGTCCCTGTGAGATGCTGAGAAAATAGTACATCCCAGCCAGAAAATCTCCCAGCAAAAGCTGAGCTCTAGATATGAAGTCTTAGCATGAATGGACGTGTATAGATTGTTTCCATGCACATTTGTGAAGGGACGAATCATACAGCCTTTTAGTCCATTCCACATTTGCTTAATCAAAGTAATTTTATATGGTTTAATGTATAAATTAAACCTGCCATTCTAAAACTATGTTGCTTTGCCTGGCTTTTGTTAATCCCAGATCTCCATTTTGGCTGACCTGCTGGTTAAAGCATAACTGATTAGGAAAATCTCAATGCAGATTCCCTTACTGGTTCCTTCCCTACCGGCATACATAGCAGTGGGCTGTGCAAAGTGATTTGCGTCTACTTTGAGCATCCTAATACGAAAGTATATGAATCAAGACATAAGTGATAGAGAGGGAGGGGCATACTTGAGGGAATCACATTATTCTTGGAAAGTGGAGTGATGAATAAATCTAGAAAACAGTCAGGAGAGAGAGTTCCCTTTGACAAATGTGACTGGTTTCCCCATGATCTACTCTGGGCTTCGTTCCCCGCTCCATCAGTAAATGGACTAAATGCAGTACCTGTCATGGCCAGCTTTTTACATATTATTTAAAGGATACCAAAACGAATTACTCTTCTAGATAAAGATAAAACAAAGAAAATGTATTTAATTTTGAGGCCCATAGAGGTTTCCCTTATATTCTTTTTGAACTGGATTTTTTTTCATATTGTATAGAATTTTCTTTTTAAAGCAACACTGTTAAGATTAAACTTTAAAAATATGGCTTTTTTATTTAAAACATTGGAGTGTTGATATTTTATTTAAAACACTGAAGTGTTAAATTGTTGGCCTCAATATTTCAAACCAACAATTTTTAAAGAATTCTCTTGACATTAGACTATGATAAATTTGAAATGTTTGACTTTAAAAAGTACTTAAAATACTGACATTTGGCTGAATTGTATTTGGAAGCCTCATTGTGCATTATTTAAATTTCAGTTATTTTAAACCATAGCATTTTTAATTGGCACCAAATACATTTGGCACTGTTGTTCATGTTATTAAATGCAAAGCTCTTAAATAATTAATAATCTATCTAAATCATCTTTTAAAACTTAACAAGGAAAAAATAATTATTCAGAAATCTCTTTACAGTCTGAGGCCAGTGCTTAGCCATGATAGGAAGCCAAAAATAAAAATAAAGTATTTCTGAAAAGGTGCCTTTTTTTGTAGGAGCCTAATGACATTCTTTTACCTTCAAAGTGAAATCATATTCAGAGTGGAGGTGAACTGCAGCCTCTACTGAGTGTAGCTATTGAGAATTTAGGATTAGAATTCTGCTTTGTTCCAGAAGGCCATTGTAATGGTGCACATTTAGACATCAAAGCATTACTTTACGAGCACAGGCATGTTTTAATGTCCTATTACAGTTTGTAGACCTGTTTCTTTTGATAATGAAGATGTTGTGTCATCAAGCCTAGCCTGGTACATACAAAACATATGCTGGCAGGTTATTAAAAATTTCAGCTTCTTGATGAAAGACTATCCTGCAGGCTAAGAGTCCAGAGAAAGACTCCATTCTGGGAGAATTATTAGAAATGAGAATATGACTGTAAGCACTAAATTATGTTAATACTTACAAATAGCATCATTTGCATAGCAGTTTATGATACGATACCATGATTTTTCTCATTGGTATGTTGTAGGCAACAGATTAAAAACAGTGCTGTTTATGGGAGTTTGAACCCTTAAGATTCTCTTGCCTCTCATGCAGATATTGGTTTTAGATGTAGGCAGGATTCAGCATAAATTCAAGTACCTAATATAAAAATCATCTGGCCGGGTGCGGTGGCTAATGCCTGTAATCCTAGCACTCTGGGAAGCCAATGTGGGTGGATCATCTGAGGTCGGGAGTTCGAGGCCAGCCTGGCCAACATAGTGAAACCTTGTCTCTACTAAAAATACAAAAAAATTAGTCAGGCATGGTGGTGCATGCCTGCAGTCCCAGCTACTTGGGAGGCGAGGCAGGAGAATCACTTGAACCTGGGAGGTGGAGGTTGCAGTGAGCTGAGATCACACCAGTGCACTCTAACGTGGGCAACAGAGTGAGACACCATCTCAAGTAAAAAAAAGGCTATCTATTTTTTCACCTATCCAATTTGGAACCAGAGTTATCTGGCTGGTTATAGTTGAGAATTAAAACAGTCATGAAATCAGCAGATGCTGAAAAGTTGTCGTCACAGTTAAAAAAAATCAGTAGAGACATATAGGTGATATTTTAGGAAAAGCAGAATGTTACATGATGGCCAAAATGAAAACAGAACACAACTCTTATCATTTTTTCTTGGTGATTTGGTACCAAGCCTATTCTCTTCATCCTACCAGCTAACAAAACCTACTTCCCCCAACAAGTTCCAGTAAACTCATTCACTTAAGTATTCTGGTCGTTAAGGTTTAATGAATCCACACGCTGGCACACACCGCACTCCCTGTTCCCCAGTCGGGGGTATTTCTTTTCATTTAGGAGGAATAAAGGCTTAAAGAAAGAAAGGCAAACATGTCATGGGGAGAGCCTTCCTGGGTAAACTCACCTAAGACAGTCTAGGGAAACCCAGGCAGACATTTGCTGTGGTACCAGTCCTTGTGGCTTTTTTTTGTTTGTTTTTTTCTTTAAGGGTGTCTTCCTTTCCTCAATTCCTGGCTTAGTGGCAGTGATGCTACTGGTGACACTGCTTTGCAAGAGATCTTTGTAGAACAATTTCTGTGTGTAAAGCACTAAGCTGGCTGACTTTCAGGTTACTCTCTGCAGCCCTTCCTGGGGCCGTTGTTACCCTGGAGATTCTGGGATGTGGTCTTGGCATTACTATTTTACCTCTTAATGAGAAAAAGGAAATTGAACTGGCTCTTGAATGCCGCTAGTAAGTATTGCTATTTTAGCCCTTTGCAAGAGCAGTTTTACCTTTATTTGTACTTTGGTTTACTTTGTTTGACATTTGATATTAATTTGGGGATCACCAATGGAGGAAAAAAACAAATTAGACATTTGATATTAATTTGGGATCACAAAGGTAGGGGAAGAACTATGTCTAGAAAAGGTAGAATAAACCACAGTTGTTGTTTTGCCTCCTTGTAGGAACTAAGGCAGCAAACAGAAAACACATTTCATGTCATAGAACTCCCTGCATTTACACCTCCATTGTGAAGACCTCTGTTCATTCAGAGTAGCCCTGGAACTAGGTCACAGGAGGCATTGCAGCATGGCTGAGCTTGTTGTCCCCTGTATAATTTAGTAGGTATTTATTAGATCGTCACAAAGAGCCGCTGCTTGTAATCCCCTAATTTTTAGAAAAGTTTAACGATAACATAAATACATAATCACTTTCCCCAAACAGTTTTCATTTTTGTGTGTTAATTTCTAAATATGCAGTATTTCTGATAGCTACAATAATAGTGTATATGCAAACATCAGATCTTAAATATTCTCCGTGTTTATACGTAGTCCTCACAATTAGTAGCTGTATAATAATCTCTCGTACTGATAAACTCTAATATGTTAAACAACTCAACTAAGTTGGAAATTTAGACTGTTTCCAGCCTTCTTTTTTTTGGTGGTGGGTTGTAGGGGAAGAAGGAGGGAGGAAAGATTTGTTTCTTTTCTTTTTTTTTTTTTTTTTTTTTGAGATGGAGTTTTGCTTGCTATTGTTGCCCAGGCTGGAGTGCAATGGCGCTATCTTGGCTCACCACAAACTCCACCTCCCAGCTTCAAGTGATTCTCCTGCCTCCGCCTCCTAAGTAGCTGGGATTATAGGCATGCGACACCACTCCCCGCTAATTTTGTATTTTTAGTAGAGATGGGGTTTTTCCATGTTGGTCAGGTTAGTCTCAAACTCCTGACCTCAGGTCATCTGCCTGCTTCAGCCTCCCAAAGTGCTGGGATTACAGGCATGAGCCACTGCACCCGGCCAATTTGTTTCTTTTATATTTGGTTTTTGTATACACCTCTTTTTGCTTCTGTTATTTCCCTAGGAGAAAGACCCAGGAGAATATTTTATGGCTTTTATTACATATTGCCATATTCCTAAGAAGATAGTCCCAATTTCCAAAGCAACTAGCAGAGAATAAGCTTACTAGTTTTACCACAATGTTACCACCCATGGATATTATTAACTGTTTGCACTTTTATTTTAGATATAAAAATCCGGCTTCTCATTGCTATTATTTGATTG